CTGTATTTGTGCTTGGGATTGCTTTGACCGATGTGCAGACCTTGCATTTGGTCTTGTTGAATTTCATGAGGTTTGCATTGGCCCACCTCTCAAGCCTGTCCAGGTCCCTCTGGATGGCATCCCTTCCCTCCAGCATGTCAACTGCACCACACAGTTTGGTGTCATCAGCAAACTTGCTGAGGGTGCACTCAGTCCCACTGCCCATGTTGTCAACAAGGATGTTAAACAACACTGGTCCCAATACTGACCACTGCAGAATACCACTTGTCACCGGTCTCCACTTGGACATTTTGCTGTTGACCTCAACACTTTGAGTGTAACCATCCAGCCAATTCCTTATCTAGTGTATGGTCCTTCCATCAAATCGATGTCTCTCCAATTCCCACAAAATTGTCATGTGGGACAGCACCAGAGGCTTTGCACAAGTCCAGGTAGATGGTGTCAGTTGCCTGAACTCTCATGTGGAGAATTTTACAAGACTGAAGTAATAGAATCTCTCTTTGCAATCTCTGTGCAGGATTCTGGAATTCTTACTTCCTGCATATAAAAATCTTTTGACCTTAATATAACAGTGCCTCACAATAACCAGCAAGAATATTGTTCAGTGTAGTAAATAGTGAATACGTACACTCAAATCCGTGTATATGTGTCCACTCTTTACTAATGACTGTTTTAAATAATGATAAGACTTTTTTTCCTTGTGTGGAGGGAAGAAAAGCAAAAGGAAGATACAGCATCTTTCACCCTTAATAGTTTTGTAGAAGAAAAGCTGCTGCTTCTACATTGTTCTGCTGGCTTCCAGACTTATATAACAATTTAATCTTTTAAAAGAAAAATTATAAGGAAAATTACAAAACTGAAGAGAATAGATACAATTCTTTGTGATCAGTAGAAATTTATTTACTAAGATTTCTCTGAATTTTCTCTTTTCTCAGATTTATTTTGTTCTATTTCAGTTTAATTTTGTTTAGTATTGGTATTAATTTAGATGTTGTTACATATACATTTTCAATGCCCATTTAACTTTCTTTACAAAATTAAATACGTTACATTTCGACTGGGCAAGAAAGTGTTTGGAGTATATTACAAATGTTAATGGAAATTGTATTTGATTCTAAAAATGTACCTCATTTGTTTAAGTTCTGGTATGAAACAAAGGAAATACATATTTTTATGCATTTGCATTTACTTGTTTTGTTCTGGGAAAACTGGAAATTGTTGCAATGTTGCTCTTGACCCAGCATATTTTTGTGGCTTTAAATATTTGTATGCACAATAAGATTAAGACTTGAGGGAAAAAATAATTGGTCAGATGTGTAAGGAGGGAGGCTAAAGAGCAATACGTTTTTTCATATAATTTAATTTTATATAAATGCCAGGAATAATCTATTTGTAGTCCAGAATGTAGGGAGAAGATAAGTGAGCTCACCGTTGTTGAGAACTTGCTGGTGATATTACATGAATACGATTTGCTTTCTAAAAGGTGAGACTTTGTTTATAGATTAATTGTGTTAAAATATATTTAGACTTTTAGGAACATGTTTATTTACAGGAATTATATAATGTGTCAATTTTAATATACTCAAGGTAAAGTTCTGACACCTATGTATTTTCAGTCAGTATTGATGTAGCAAAATCTTTTCTAGCAGTTTTGTTATAAGCTGTCTCTTCTCTCTCCACTGATGGCCTCCAGTGCAGTGCAAATCAATTGCAATGTTACTATAAAGTGACAGCAGTCACTTTTCTTGGTGCATCTCCTCTTTGCTCTCGAGAGACCCGAGTGACTAGGTGGAAAGCATGCTGAATTCTGACAGTTCCTGGGATGCCCAATATAAACTAATAAGTTGCAAGACATATAGCTGTCGTAGTTTGTGCCAGAGATTGGGTCAGACCCCACATCCTTTCAATCAGAAAATCACAAAGGTTCCTTCAGTTTTTATATTTCCTTTCATCTCAGCTAAGCCTGCTATATGAGCATAGTATATCTGCATTTCAGTAAGAAACCAAAAGACTCTCAAATTTGATGATGTGTCACTTACCCTATCACATTTAAAATTCTGCAAAGATTTTTTTAGATTTCTTGCTTAATCATTTCATACATGTACGTTATTTTACCCATGACTGAAGATAAAGAAATTGAATATGCCGAAATATTTTATTTATTTTCTGGGTTTGAAATTATTTGGATTATATGTAAACCAAAAGTTTGTTATAAAAACTGGAATTTGAGTGTAGACAGGAAGCTGCTGAAGTTCAGTGCTCGTTAAAGATAGTTTTAAATTAGATATGAATCTGAATTCGTATGTTTCATCAAAAACACGTGCAGCTTTTTTGTTTCAAACGGAAAAGGAAATACCTAACCATATTTTCTATGGAAAGTCCACCTCAATTGGAGTGAAGTTAATTAAAATCTTGTATAAACCTTTTAAATGACACATCCAATCCCTTTTGTAAGCATAATATTGAAACCATGCTAGAGAAGAATCATGGTTATTCGTGGAGTTATTCTAATTCCACAGATGGACTTCACAAGTTCATGCAGCGAGTGCTAATTGTAGTACTAATGCCATGAAGAAGAAGGTGGTACCACGGATGGCTGCAGTCCACCTGGCCATCTCCATCCTGGCTGTGTATGCTTGGCTGCCTATGCTGACAGTTACACTCAATGTAAATATAATTTCATCCCTTCTGAAAATGTGGACTTTCTTTTTCTTTTTTTTTTAATCAGTGAGTTCAATCAGTTTACAGTTACTTAAGCAGTTTTCTTTGACTTCTTTTTGTTATAGGAGGTCTCTGCTCTTTCTTAAACATTTGCTGAGCTTTTTTCACATTTGCTAACTGACAATACAAAGCGAAGATGGAGTTATTGTTAAAATTTCTTGCTGATTTTTTTTTAGGCTCACAGCAGAGTTGCTACGTCTCCTCTGTGCAGAGTCACAAGTCAAAGAGGAAATTAAAATATGTGAAGGAGTTCCAGTCTTGCTCAGTTTACTCCATTCTGATCATATCAAACTTCTATGGAGTATAGTTTGGATTCTGGTACAAATTTGTGAAGACCCTGAGACTAGTGTGGAAATACGGATTTGGGGTGGAATCAAGCAGCTGCTTCATATATTACGGGGGTAGGTTTCCAGTCCTCAACCTTGTGGCCATTACATGAGACTGTTTCATACTTTAAGATATGTTTGACTAAGCACTGTTTTATCAAATAGCATCTTTGTTTTGTTCAGCTGTATGTGATGTCTGCAGAAATTAAAAATCTCTTTAGAACATAATAAGCAGTATTTTTTTCAGCTATGCATATTTCATTATCTTAGTGTTTTTCGTATTTTCAGTGTATAAACTAAATATGAATAGATTATAAATGTAATTGCTCTCTACTTAGTTTGCTTCCTAATGAGACACCTATTTAGTGAGCTAGAATTGGGAATATAATTTAACATGGTAAAGGAATTTTCAGTTTAAAGACTTGTTTGCTTTTTTCAAAGTGCATCAGCTAATTCAGTGAAAAACATGCAAATTTTCAGAACTCTAGAAATGGTTAACAAAGATATGTTAAGCTATTTTTTACATTGAAATCTGTTGTTTGGGTTTTTTTTTTAGAAAAAAAATCGCTCTTCAGTTGGAAGTTTATCTAGCGCAAATGCAGCAGGGAGAATACAACATCTTCATTTGTCAGATGATTTGAGTCCTGATGAGATGCAAGAAAATACTTTCTCACTTCAAGCAGGTAGATTTAAAAGGCCTAATCCTCTGTTATGTGTTTACTTGTGCTTGCACAAAGGGATTCAAATTATTTCAGAATTGGAACTGTAAACAATTATACCTGCTTTAGGAAGTGGGAGTACCAAGTCAGCTGTGTTTATTTCTAAATGTGCAATCCCAGCACATATTTTCAAAAAGCACACTTGTTTTTAGAAACAAAGGATAAAGTATTAAGTACATGAGAATCATATATATTTCTTCCACCTGTAAAAACATCTCAAACATATATATCTATTTTAAAATTTTGTTTTTAGCCTGAGATTATTTTTATTTGATCATACTTTTCCCTCTATTCAAATTTACTATATAAATTATTAATATTACTGTTCACTAAATCACTAATGTTACTATATATCAATCATTAATTGATTATGATGGAACTCTTTCAAAGTGGTATGTTAAAGACTACCAGTCAGGTGAGGATTCCTCGGTAGTTATGCAGAGAATCCCTTTTAGAGGAGATCTCTCAATAGCATGTCAACTGTCCATTCTGAAATGCCTTCTGGAGGATACTTTTTCCAGTGACTGTAGAAGGACAATGCAAAATATCCTCACATGAGCCTTTGCAATATCTTCCTGAAAGCTGTAACATAATATGTAAGTGTTTTTGAATACTTTATTATGAATGGTACCCTGAATTGCTGGTAATGTGAAATAAATTGCAGTACCAAAAGTATTGCCAGCATGGAGCACATTTCTGGGTTGCTTCTGCTTTCCTTAAAGGGCTTCTAAGAAAGAGTACACACTGAACTTACAGAGGTCTTTTTAAGTTCTGGCTGAGTACTTGTTTGTATTTTTAGCCTTCTGCATTGTGTGTAGGTGGCAAGGTTTTATTAGCAGTGGGCCTGCAGGGTTGGCCTCTGTGGGAAGAGTTAACGGATTGGCCTGTGCTGGACACAGCTGGTTCCAGCTGTCTTCACAACAGAACCATTGCTGGCCAAAGCTAAGCCCATCAGCAAAGCTGGTGGTGCCCCTGTGAAAACATAGTTAAGAAAGGGCAAAAATGCTGAGTGAGCAGACAAGGAGAGGAAAAAAAAATGTAATGGAGTGAGAAACAACAATGCAAACACCAACATCAGAGAAGAAAGAGGGGAAGGAGGTGCTCTAGGCACCAGAGCAGAGATCCATCTGCAGCCCATGGGAGAGACCTCTGTGGAGCGGGTATTCATGCTGCAACGTGTTTAGAGGACCCATGCTGGATCAGGGAAAAATGTGAGGAGAAAGGAGCAGCAGAGAGGAACTGTTATGTACTGACTGTAACCCTCATCCACTACCTCCCAGTGCTGCTGGGGGGAGAGGGTAAAGGAGTTGGGAGTGAACAGGAGTCTGGGGTTGGGGGCGGGGGAAGGATGGGGGGAAGATGGTGTTTTAATTTTTTGTCTTTTTTGCTATCCAAATCTATTTGAATTGGCAATAAATTAATTTTCACCAAGTCAAGTCTGTTTTGCCTGTGATGGTAACTGGTAAGCAATCTCTCTATCTTTATCTTGACCTGTGAGCTTTTCCATCCTATTTTCTCCCTCTGTCTTTTAAGTAAGGGGAGTGAATGAGCAGCTGGATGGGCATTTGGCCCTTAGCTAAGGTTAACCTACCATGCTCTCTGAATATCTTTATGAATTTGGCCCTAAATGTTACATCTGAATTTTTATTCTAGCTTGTTGTGCTGCGCTTACTGAACTGGTGCTAAATGAGGCTAACGCTTACCAGGTAGTACAGGTAGGAAGACTTTATTCAGTTAAGTAAGGGATTAGAGTTTATAATTTGCCTTAATTGTTCTTATTTGTCACCATCATTTAATTAACAAACAAAATACATTTGTAAGGGATTGGAAAATGCGCCTTTATATAACTTTAGTATCTTTGTTTATACATTTACACACAGAGACACATACAGAAAGATACCAATTTATGTCTAGTTGTTTGGGAGAATAACCAACTTTATTTAGACAGGGCCCATATTGGTTGGCATCTCTTGCCGTGCTTTTGCCATATTCAAAATAGGACCGTAAATAAGAATAATCATGGAATTAACTGGGAAGGACAAATTCTGAATTTCATGAAGTTTATTAGAACTAACTCAGTGCAGCTTAATACTCTTGTTTCAGGCAGTTGCAAACCACTTCCAGCTGTAGCTGCCCTCTACGTGTCCATCCTGTGTCCTTGTCTCAATTTACAGCCTCTGTAGTGGTCTGCAGCAGTTCTGGTAGCAGGCCAGAACATGTTTATGACTCAATGGGTCTATTGTACAGCCTAAAACCTTAGCTCATCTCTCCCTTCATGAACAGTTTAAGAACACATATCAGGAACTGCAGCAGAGTCCCTGCAGAACTGACACATATTCCCTTAAACTCTGCTAGAAAGGAGAGTAGTTCCAACAGGGAGCTTTTCAGGTAACTGGGAGCAGTACTGTAACTAAATCTACCAGTACCCATCTATCAAACCAACAGGATGGATATATTAACGGAGGACACAAGTATAGTTACATGAAAATGGAAACTGAAATACAGTATGGTTTTCACAAAACCAGGCGTGGACATACTACTAAGAATATCCCTTCTGGTGTTTCTCCAGTTTGTATTTATCGTATCTGGATTTTTGGTTCCTGACGGTTCAAAATATCCACATGGTGATCAAAGATCTGTTGCTGCAATTTCCTTTACCTCTAGCGATAGAAGCATTGCTTCATTATCTGTTTGCAAGCTCTCTTTGCAGTATCAGTTTAAATGTAATGATGATTTCATTCTTATGTACAGCTAAGTCATTTGAGCTTATAATTTAGGTGTGCAGTAGGATGCTGAGAACTTGTCAATTGGTATTAGCTTCTGATTTATCTGAAGTAACATTGGTTTTTATTTATGGTTTCTGTGCAAAAGAGGGTTATTAATATTGACCTTTCTCTGCTTCCAGGCAAATGGAATATATACAATAGCAAAGCTGATTTTACCAAACAAAGAAAGGAATGCTGAAAAAGCTAATGTATTACAGGTAACTCCCTTTATTATCATTGCACAATGAAAGCCCCCAACAGTCTCTGAGAATTTTTTATTATTTTAAAGTTTAAAGTGAAGTACAAAAAAATTATACTCAAAGAGGAAAAAAACACCATCAAAACAAAACCAGGAATAGCAAATGGCCCAGGAACCTATAATAGTGACTCAATTTCTGGTGTTCTTCTCTGATCTAATTTGTTTCTGGCACCTCATATAGTGTGAACGAAAGTGAGTATTTTTCTTCTGTTAATCTCTCCTATTTTTCAGGCTGCCCAGCATCAGATGTTCTTTTTAGTGCCTTTATCTTAATTGAAACTCACTGTAGATTTGACACTGTGCTAACATAAGTTTATTTCTGGTGCATCTTACTGTGGTTGTTAAATAAAATACAGGAAGACATCACATGAAATAGAGCAAATTTAAATGTAGGATAAATATAGAGCTAATAAGTGTAGAATGTCTCTTTGTTTTGCATGTCAATACCTCCATAAATGTACTGGTTTGAGTCAACTTAGGATAAAAGTTATTGGTAGTGATTAATTATCTGACAGCTCTTCTCCAGCCTCTGTGAAATGGTGTTGGTGTCTCTCTAAGCTATAGGAAAGCAGTGGTCTGGGATTCAGGGATGAACACAACTGCTGCTGCTCCAGTTGCCCCTCTGTGGGCAAGTGTCAGGAGGTCTTTAGCACAGGTGAATGCAGTCAGGATCCTGCCTCTCACCTGGTCTTTGTTCTGGCATAGCCCTTCACTGACATGGCTAACATAGCTACTCAACTATCTAATCAGGTAGAAAGGGAAGGCATTTCCACAAAAAAAAGCTCATGGTAGTGTCATCTTTCTCATTGCATTTCTTCTAGATTAGAGTTGGAGTGCAGATTCAGTGCAGTAGGTACCTTTCTTCTTCAGTTAAATCAGCTTAAAGGTCAGATAAATAAAAGTCTTCCAAGAAGATATATGAAGCTAACATGGAGTCTAATAAACTGGAGTAGATGCTCAGTACAGTTGCCTCATACAGCTTTGAGGAGGTTAATTTATACCCACCAAGTTTTTTAGATTCCAGCAGAATGTGGCAGGAAATGAATCACAAGAGATACTGAGCAACTGTAGTTGGATTAAACATGAAGCCATGTGAGTTAATAATGGACTTAATGATCACGTATGAAAAATAAATCAGTTTTGGGCAAACAAGAAGTAGTATATTTTTTTTGTGATCCTTGTTTAGGTTCTCACACTGCTGTCTGTATTTCCTTCATCATTGTTACTGTTATGCAATACAGTTGCAGCTATTGGAATACCCTTTTTGAATTTCATAGGCATTTTCTTAGAATTCTGACAGTGTGGTCTGGTTTCTTTACTGCTCCATTGTCTGTGTTTTCAATGATTCAGTTTTCAGCTTCTTTCTACCATACTGCCATAGTGATCTTACTCATTGCTTCAAGTGTGGCAGTGATATCTGCCATTTATTCTGCATGCATACCATATATAAAAATCCTTATGCCTTAACTGAAGCATATCACAAGTTTTAATATTTAATCTCACAATATTAGTGTGAGAGACAAATATTGTTGTTGTTTAAAATATCTGCTTAGCTCATTATTAATCTGTTTTCATGCCCCTTCACCGATGCGCTTTCTACAGTAAGATCTATGTATAGTCTCTAAACCGAAAAACTTTGAAGGTAGCAGCTATGGTCCAGCCGGTCTGGGCTATTTTGTACAGCTAAGTTGTGACTGTGCTTGTCAGTGGAATGTTAGACATGGCAACACACCATCCTTCTCCTGTGATGAGGAGTTTACTTTGGACTAAAAAGAAACATTGTAAAAGCGACAACTTCTTAGCAGCATTAACATCTGTTATTTTTCTGTAAAATTTCAAGTAACCCCCTTCCTTCAAAAGTAGCATTGGCCTGTATTTTCTTCGTTTAATGCATTTTCTATATAATTGAAAGATATGTTTTAAACATTGGGTTTAGTTCTGCAGTTATCAATAAGACACAGTTGCCATTGTCTAAACAGGGATTATCACACTGGACTGTAGCAGTGTTTTAGTCACTGATGCAATAACGTAATTCTAAATTATGTTTAAAGCATTTACTGTTTGCACTGTTTCAGATATCAATACCTTATTTCCCTTTGGTGTACTTTATACAATCATCTTTCTTTGATAAGCCATATGTGTGCTGTGTTATTGACTCTTGATACACAGAATTAAACATGAGTTACATACACATATTAACTACCTGCCAGTGACTGTTTTAAAAGTAAGCTTTATTCAGTAGAGATCATATAGAAACTAAGGTACATAAAGATAGAAACTGAGGTACATAAAGATCTCTGTAAATATGGTGAGTTAAAATAAAAAAGTTGACCTGTTTGTCACATTCTCTCTTTCTCACTTTTCTTTTTTCTTCTTTTGTTCCCTGTTAGAACTTACTACACTGCATATTTCAGAAAAAATGCCAAATGCTGTTTCAACTGCATCATTGCAAGACCACTGATTATATTTACCTTTTTCAGCATTGGGGAGGAGACCAGGTCTCAAGTGTTGAGCTATCTGCAAATACGAAAATATGGTTAAGACTTAGATACTCTTCACTGTGTGCTATAGCTGTAGTCACTCACTTTTTTTCCTTTCCCTGCCCCCCCCAAGTGGCCCTGCCTACTTTTAAAATACTCAAGGAACCAGATATATTTTTACTCTCTTCATTATGAGGTTAATAACATAATCTATCCAGTCACTTAAGTACAAAGTTTATTGATGTGTGAAGTCAGGGGGTATCCTTAATGTTTATCAGTGCCTTTTCCATTTGTGTATAAATTTCTAGTTAATTTAAGTGTTTTTCGTGCTGTAGTGTTATGCTTTCAGAGCCCTGAGATTTCTCTTCAGCATGGAAAGAAATCGACATATCTTTAAAAGGTATGTTAACAAGATGTTTTGTGAAACTCCTTTAGGATAGCTTTCAAAAGTTGTCATTCCAATCAAAAAGACATGTTTTTCACATGTAGTTTATTTTCAACAAAAAGAAATAGTAACACGCAACTTCTGTCCAGTCCACAGCTACAGATAACCCTTCCTGCATTGCTTCAGTGGCAGCCTGCAAGATTCAGACTTTCAGTGTGGGGACTTCTATTGTATGCATGTCAGAGAACCTATCTCTGTAGGGATGACTTCTTCCCCCATGAGTCAAGGTTTAAAATATGTTGAGGACAGATTTAATACTGTTGGAGATAAACCATACTTTTATCCTGAAGATTAGCAGATGCAAGTTACAGCCCTTGGTCATAGCAAGTAACTGGGAGCAGTAAATTTTTTCTCCATCCACTCCTTCACATGGGAATGACTTTGCATCAAGCTGGTTTACTTAGGAGTGTTGCTGAAAGGTTTGGGTCGATAAGAAGAAAATATCTTTCATCCATTACCCATTTTTACTAGTAAGATGACAGTTTCACCAGGCTGGCTACAAAGGCTGTGTAAAACCTAACTGTTTGTTTTGTGGGATTAGGATAGTAATCATACTGCCTGGGAGGTCTGCCTGTCAATAGTGTTTCTGTATTATTTTATTCTGTATCATAAATTACTAGAATTCTAAATATAAATTTTGTGTTATTTTTACTTCTAAAAAGTGAATTTTATACTGAAAGCACCCCAGTTTGTAGTGAATGTTCACGATTGGTGTCAAATTTTGAAAGTGATAAATCTGGACTGATGTGCTGTCTTTCATATTTTTCCAAATGCCTTAATTTTCTGTATTTCTGCTTCCTTTAAAAAGAATCAAACCTTCAGTTAATATGTCACTTATCAAATATTGCCCACTACCTGTTAGCTTTTGCTTTCCTCTGTCGTTTTCATTTTTTAGACTAGACTTCTTGGAGAAAAATTCTAAGATGGGTGCTGTGATTCTTTAAATAATGACAAATGTTAATCCTATCTTTTAATCTATTACAAGAAGGAACTTGTCACTTTATCTAAGTGGCAACAAGCATAATATGAAATACTTGTCCTGGGTTAAGCAAACAGCTTTGCCCCAGCCAAGGGCAAACACATCACAATACTACAAGAAAAAAATAGAAACTCAGGAGGTGCATTGACTTTAAAGAGGCTTATACTTGTTTGGAGAACTGTCATTTATGTTAATACCCAACCCATGGAGGCTAAAGTCTGACTTTTGAAAGGTTTTTTAATTCCTATGTATGTAAAGTTGGAGTGTTAATATCTGAACAGATTAGTAAAAAGTGTGTTATTAGAAGATTCCAAAGAAAGTTGTAATAACATTTAATCTACAGCAGAGACTTTTCATAGCTACTCTGAACACTATTTCTAAAATATATCGAAATTTAAACCTTTATAGACTTTTCCCTACTGACTTGTTTGAAATCTTCATTGATATTGGACATTATGTGCGTGATATCAGTGCTTATGAAGAGTTGGTATCAAAGCTAAATTTATTAAAGGTAAGTGAAAATCTTCATAGCTTTAAGAAGCTGTATTCCTTGCACAGGAAAGGCATGAAATATTTTATATTTATTTATTTGTAATTTAATTTATAACCAGGAGGACAAACTGAAGCAAATTGCTGAAAGTATTGAGAGCATCAATCAGAATAAGGCACCTACAAAACATATAGGCAATTACACAATTTTAGAGCACCTTGGCAGTGGAGCTTTTGGAAGTGTATATAAGGTAAACTTCCCTTTTGATATTAATTTACAGGTTTGAGGGGAGGCTTCATGAAGAGGGTCTAATTACCTATTTTAGTCACAACCGTCATTTGAATTTCAGTAGGGAAATGCAGGTGTGAAAAGGCCTTTATGGATCTCGGCTTGTTGTTAGTGTTTACTGTGATTTTGTTTGTCCCCTCTTGTATTTATAAGATTAACCAGTGTCTCTCTTAGGTTTCCTACTTTTACTTTTAAAAAATTCCTTTCCACAAACAGCATTTCTTTCTGTTGCAAAGGCTAACAAATCAGTGTAAAACCACAGAAATTCAAAGCATGTTTTATCTGAAAGGCAATGCTGGGCACAGATAACCTTACTTCAGACACTGTGACAAGTTCATTAGTGTACTGCTAACCTGCATTTTGGATCTCCAGTTCTTTTGAGCAATTGCATCATTCACAGAAAAAGCTATAACTGTAACTAATGTAGTAGCCATAATAATATCCTTTCTGTCCCCATCCTATATTAATTTTCCAAGGACTTTATACTTTTTATAGGTTCGAAAACATAATGGACAAAATCTCCTCGCAATGAAAGAGGTCAATTTACACAGTCCAGCATTTGGAAAGGACAAAAAAGACAGAGACAGCAGTGTAAAAAACATTGTATCTGAATTAACCATCATCAGAGAGCAGGTATGTCTCTAGTTTCACGTATGGGTATTCTGCTGTTACCATTATTAACTGTGAGTTCTCATGTAGCAGGGCTTCCAGCTGCTGGTAAAATTTTTATCTGATCAGTACAATGTTGGCCCCTTTTACCTGAATGCTGTCAATATTGAAAACATTCTTATGCTGGTGTTAACAGCAGCGCAAATGCTTATTACTAAAGATTCTTAATTTTTGTGTTGGCAGTACTTGAATGTTTTTCAGGGATTCTGAACATTAAGATTGTGATAGAAAACTGATGAGTCTTTGTTCCATGTAATGAATTCTTGGGTTTAAATTATAATGAGAAGACTGTCTTTTTTTTGTAATTGAAAATTAAAAAAACAGACTGATCATTAATGTTCTTAGGCTAAGAAAGCCAATACTTTGATGCAGGTGTAATTGCCTGTCTTCAAACTTCACTTAGTCTCTTTGAGTTATTAAGGGGAGAGTGGATAGGAATCGTACTGTCTTTTCCTTCTGGTTGCTCTAGTAATGTGCAACACTTCTTCATGTTTTGGGTAGCAATGAAGGTCTACTGCACTGCAGTTCATAATCAAGTTCGTGGAATCCTTGTGGAATCCCTCCTTCCAATGTGTAGCTAAACATTATAAATACTGTGCCATCAGTTTAACTACATCTAAACATCTAAATTTTTTTTCCACATTGTAGCTTTATCATCCAAATGTTGTACGGTATTATAGAACCTTCTTGCAGAGTAAGTATAAATGCAGAGAATTACCACATTGTACGTAATGAAGAAATAGAAATATATAATAAAAGCACTTAGAGCTTGGAAGGAATGTGTCAAATTTGAGCAATAAATGGTAATATTTTCTTCAAGAACTGCCACAGTTCAGACAGGCTTATATTCCTTTAAAGTTGAAGAAATAGTGAGAAATAACTTTTATTGTTGTTTACCTATCAGTAAAACTGGATGCAATATAAACATGTAGAAAGCATTCTCATCCTATGAAGTTAGGGATCCCTAATTTACAACTGGAATGCTATGTAGGGTGAAAGGCTATAGAGATTAGTAGAATGAATGATAAAGATTGCTTAGCCATGTTGTCTTAGTTTTCTTTTTTTATAAAGGGCTAGCTACAGACATCTGACTACTAAGTGATCATCAGGTAGTGAATTCCTTATAGTTGCTGTGATACAAGTTGAGGAAAAATGGAGTAACAAGGAGTAGAACTATGATTCAAATGTATTTGTCTGTACAAATGAATTTTTAAAAAGTAAAAAATAGCAACTCTTAAAATATATTTTAACCTCAAATACGCTATTTTCAAATGCCTTGTGTATAAAACTAATTTTCTTTTATGTAGATGACAGATTGTACATAGTCATGGAGCTTATAGAGGGAGTGCCATTGGGAGAACACGTTTGCTCATTGAAGGAAAAGCAACAACAGTTTACAGAAGAAAGAATATGGCATATATTTATCCAAGTAAGGGCCTCTGTTTTTTTTGTTGTTATGAGGACTTTCCTGCAAGTAATTAGTAGCACCATTTGTCTTTGTTATTCTAATAAATGAAAAAGTAATACTTATTATATCGGATAAGTAATACTAATATCGGATATGAATTTAATTTTATGTGCCTTTATTCAGGTTATAGTTAAGAATCTTCATAAGGCTCTTTCTGTTTATTTTTAAGCTTTGTCTAGCTCTTCGCTATTTACACAAAGAGAAAAGGATTGTTCATCGAGATCTCACTCCGAACAACGTCATGCTGGGGGATAAAGACAAAGTTACAATTAGTAAGTAGAACTACTATGCTTAAAGAGAATTTTCCATGTTGTGAGTGAATAGAATTTCTGTACTGAAACTCTCAGAAGATTTCAGATTTCTGAACATTGGTCACCATACCTGGAAGCTAATAAATTGTTGTATTATTGTACTGTTGTGTAAAATAATTGCTAATGCAGATTTTGTGATCATTGCCACCAGGTGCCATCAGCCATGACTATATTCTTTGCAGCGATGTATGTCAAATAGGACAGAGGATGTGATTTATCCCTAAATTAAACTATAGTTATGCTTCAATGCCTGTTTTTATTTAAATCAGCAAGTACATACAAAGTACAGCAGCCATCTTTTATTCCAATTCTACCATGCAATTTTTTAGTAACCATCGGTTGTTCCCAGTGATCAGCTGCAGTGAGGTGCTATTTGCCTAAGTCTGTAGTAGTGAATATTCTTGATGTATGCTTCTGTAATCTCCACAGTGTGGAGGAAGGAGCCTAGCCAGGTTTCAGGGTAGGCTTTGAAAGCAGTATATGTGTGAGCAGTATTCCAAAGTGTGATGAAGTTTTACTCTTTGAGTGAATTAATACAACCTGGTATACCAGCAAGCCTTACAGGCAGTTCTGTAGTAGATACTGTAGTTTTTAAAGTTCTTTGAGAACTACTGCGTGTTTTCGTACTGCTCATGACACAGAACTAAATAAACATTTTGAATACTGTAAAATAGTTGTGGGAAGTCTTGATGTAAAAATCAGTCTCTCTAAAAATAACAGGGAAGTGTAGACTTATGCACACACCCAATCACAAAACCCTTGGCTATAATAGGCAAATGTATTTAACTGTTGTCTTGTAGTATGTATTTATACCTGATGATCATACAATTTAATAATGAATGAATTTAAGTATGTGCTAAAAAACTCTGATTCTTAGTATTGATATAGTTTTGAAAGAAGGCGACTTAATAGAGCATTTGTCCCTGAGTGATGAAAATAAATATTCAGAGTATTATTTTAAAGTTAAGAATCACGTAGTTGTATTTTATATCAACATACTGCCACTGAGGGGCACTCTTGTCTTGATTTAACACCTTTGACTTAACTCTGGTCTGATCTAGATATAAAGAAGTGTACGTGTACTTTCATATGTTAGCTCAAAATTGTCCTTGAGAAGCATTCATATTTCTGTCACAGATTTATAGGAGTTGAGGAAAATTGGAAGAACTGAAACTTATTTTGGCACTGATACTGTAGAAATTTATTTTCTACAGTGATTAGTTTGAAACTATTGCAATATTTAAACAAACATTTTATTCAGTACTTTTTCTTAGCACCAATGTACGTTGAATTTTTGGAGAGAGCTGAAGAACTTTTATCTATTACTTCTGAATTTTACTGAGCCTTGTTGTTTTACAACCTTAATGAAATTAAGGATAATTTACTTTCTTTCCAATGATAGTAAATATATATACTGTGTTGGTGCATGCTGTGGTATTATGCCTAACTCATACAGTCCACATATGCCAAAGAGTGGAGCATTTGCAATCTTGGTAATTGTGTCTCACAGCATTTGTGGATAAGTGTCCATTTGAGAATTTCAAGTGCTTCTAGATGAAAGTTAATACAAAATGTCAGATGAAGGTGGATACATAAATATTGAGAAATCTTAAATCTGCTTGTGCAGTGAATTTAACTTGTCAGCTTCTATAAAAGGAAAGGATCTGCTCTAAGATCTACTCAGAGGTGTAGTTCTGTGTTTACAAGCTGCACAGTCATCCTTAAGAGAGCGAGTTCAGTTTTCTGGAGTCTTTCAAATCTCAAAACTGTCCAAAACTTGTCTTGAGACAACTAGAATAGTATTCCTGTGGGCTACCCATCAAGCAGTGTTGTGTGACTGTGTAATTAAGATGACCTCCAATTGTCCAAATTATTTTGCTTCGTAAAAGAAGCTTGTATATCTTATAATGCCGCTCTTTTTTCTTTTCCTCAATCAGTATTTCTGGAAATAGTAACCCTTGTTAATCTTTTGCTGTGAGAATCCACAGGCTGACAATGTAACAAAGCCAGTTTATTCCTCTGTAACAAGCATTCTTCAAATATGTTGTCCTTAGAGAGGTGCCTCAGTTTCAGACTCTCATGGTAGATTTTGAGTAAAAAAGTCAGCAATACACTGGAGCAAAGTGCTTGCATTCTGTGCTGTGCATGGCTATGCAGCAGCCCCAGCAATGAACTGCTTTAAGAAAGTTCTGGGGTCCTCAGGTAGGTGTTTCTCACCACCCATGTGAGAACTGAGCCACTCGCGTTCCAAATCCCATGAAGACCTCTCATATAGTTTCAGAGTTTACGAGGCTTAAAAGGGAAAGGAGTGCATGGTGTGGGAGACATTCTCACCTTGCTGTCAGCACAGAAAAAATAAACCTGCTAAAGAATTATGCCTGCTTGTTCTGAATTCATGGACAAATTGCTACATAGAGGTGGCCCTTGTAGAACAATTCCAGCAGAACTTGGTAGGCAGGAACCTATAGTGAAAGGTGTCTGAAAGCTAGAATTCATACAGGCGATGAATTCTTCAGCTCTCCTGGCACAATGTAAGATTAAGCTATGAGGGGCCTTTTCTAGAGATAGTCTCTGAATATCGTCTCTATAGGTTTTACTGAAAAAAGAATACCTGAGCAATAATAGAAGGAAGAATTTTTTAAACTGTATATTCACACTATATTTTCTTTTTCGTAAATATTGAGTGTGATTAGACACTGTCCTTATCCAGCTGTTTGTTTATTGTATCTTGCACAAGTTTAAAAACAAAACAAATCAAAGTCCTAGGCCCAGGAAGTGCTTCATTCTAATCGGAAGATTATATAACTTCCTTTACATTTCCCATGACATCTTTTACACATGTCAGTTAAATCTGAATTATCTCAGTCTTTTTAGGACTCTCTTAAGTTGTGTGTTGGTGCAAATGGAAACAGGCATTTACAATCTGATCCTGGCCAGGCTAGTGTTCGTACAAGCTCTCTGTTTCTGACTGTAGAGAAGATTAAACATGCTGTTGTTATGCAGTCTCTGGAACTGCCCACCCTACTAATTTGTTCTGTTTCGTCTCTGACATAAATTTGACAGGAAGGGGGCCATAACTGACATCTCTTATGTGTTGGTACAGCACTTAATTGTGATTGGTTAAGCCACAATTGCTATGAAAATATAAATATTAAATCACGCTAACCTGCAATTTCATAAACACCTCATTCTGAATTGGTAGAAAAATGTTACTGAAATTGTACATGTCTGGTCAAGTTGAATGTCTGATTTATAATTTATGATACATAAAAAAGTAGAATTCTAGGCACAGCCTGAATTAAAGTTGTTTTGTATAGGGTTTTAGAGATTCATTCAACCAATATTATTTGTGGCTTTCAGTTTAATCTGGCCATCCTTTTTGTATAAGACATTGAGAAGTTACAGTTTTCTGAATTTAAATTTATATCAGCTTTTTTTTGCAACCATATTTTACTGCAGCTGTATTTTGTCTCTATCACAGCATATTGCTGTCTAGAGCTCTGTAGCTACATCTGTTTGTAGTCCAAAACAGAAGACTCTGTAGATCATCACTTTTCCTCAGCGTCATCTAGTTGCAGCAAGGTTTAGATCTTGATGGTCAAAGGGCTGTGTGGAATCACTTTGATACTTTTCAGGTCTGATATCAAGGAGAATTGTGAAGGGTTCCGTACACTCTTGTGGGTGGCATTCTCTATTTAATGTTTAGTACACCTGATACAGTAGCAGCAGAAAAGATCCATATGTAACTGAAACCTAGGATTATATAGCAGCAGAATACTAGTTTTGAGACAACTCACCTGTCTGCTGTACTTCTCATCATAGCAGGCAGCCATGAAGTGTCAGAATAGTGAAGCGAATGAGACTTGAAAAGTTCAAATAGTTGCTGGATGCTGTAAGAAAGCTATCTGTTAGTTTTGTAATTCAGAGTACTTGCTTGTTGTGTGCCTTTTTAAAAGGCCTGTTGTCTCTTGATTCTGTGCCATGCCCAGAGAAGCAGCGGCCGTAAAATGAAGGGGATATAACTAGTGTCTGTTGTGGGTTAGTCACTACTTTTTGGAGTCACTTGGATCAGTGCTAGGTTTTTTTGCAGATTATATGACTCATTTAACTAGTCTTCATTATCAGAATTGCTATCCTTCATACAAAATTCAAGGTAGTGCTTGTAGTACTTCATTTTCAAAGCTTCCAATGTAGGCTGAGTGGAATTTTCCACTCATTTATGTTCACACTGTAAATCAAACATTCTGGACACTATTGGTGGATTAATAGCACAATTGCATCTCTGTCTACAAATCTCAGTTCTAGATATAGATCAGTGCTAATGTTCTTAGTGCAGAAGTTACAAACTTCACAAAAACTGACAGACAGTAGACTGAGTTTACAAAGCATTGATATCACGCAGACAGAAGAATGATAGAATAGCTAGAAGGTGTATTTGTGAATGATGAGAAACTAATTCTGTTCCCATTCTATTGATGGAAAAGAATAGAATAAGTATGTATTACTGTTGACTAAATTGCAGATCATCTTGTTTTTAGGGTATGTTTTAATGGAAAATAAAATTAAAGTTCTATTTTTATCTTCCAGATCACTGTAACTCAGTAAGTTGCTGAGAAATTTTCTTGGTTACAATTGCAAACTTGCTGAAGAGAAGCAAAGTGATTTTGTCTCATCCTGAGCCTTTCAGGGTTAGATGAAGAAATTGTTCAGTGGGGACACAGTGAAAATCTGACCTGAGTAGGTCTGAAATTCACATACTTGGTGAATTTGATACTCCACTGATCCTCCTTTTTTGCTTTGCTTTTGGTCTTTATGTGCATGTTTGATTTTAGGAAAAAAAATGGTATTTTAAAATAGGGTTCGAATATAAGGCAACAAATGTGCAGATATGAGATGAGTGTTGTTAAGATATAGTGTCTGGAAAATTTTCCTCTTGTTTTTACTGTTGAAGGTCAATCTACTAGATGAAATCTTTGGGAAATAAAACAGCAAATGGAAAACCAGATTCTACCAGTACAAAGAGGAAAAAAAGCATTGCAAGTACCTAAAATGCTCATTTAAAGAGACTGTTAAGATTTAGAAAGTTTTTGTAATTCAGCTGTTATGAAAGTTAAAGAAATAATTCCGTAGCAGGTTAAGATGCTAGTCAAGTCAGCCTGCTCAATTTTTCGTAGTTCTCTCTTCCCTTGATGCCCTCTTCCCAGCATGTTAATGTTTTCTGAAACAATCTTACTTCATTATTGCTTATGCTGCTACCCTAAACACAATGTAAACAAGTGAAAACAAGTGAAGAAGGGTGTTGCAGAATCTAAAGGGTTATGACAGCATTATTTTGTGTTAATTGTTCTTCCTATTTGACTGTCTTGCATCATGGACTATTTTTAAATGAATTCTAAAAAAATTTAAATAATGGTTATTTTTCTAGATTCCTGATATGCAGAGGAAAAACCTTCAAGGCTTAATGTTTACAGTACAAAATTTAAATATAATCATACCAAGGAAATATGACTATTGGTAATTAATTGCTGGTGAAATTGCATGTCTAGTCATAGCTTGTACAGATCCGTCTAGCAGTGAAAGTCCGTTAGTTTTTTATTGTCTTTGAACAGCCTTGAAAATAATCTTCACCCTTCATGAAGGATGCCAACTATTAGAGAAATTGTCTGAAATACAGACATAGAATCATAGAATCATTAAGGTTGGAAAAGACCTCAAGGATCATCAAGTCCAACCGTCAACCCAACACCACCTAGCTCACTAAACCATGTCCCTAAGCACCACATCTACACGTTTCTTGAACACCTCCAGGGATGGTGACTCCACCGCTTCTTGCTGGTGTCAAGATGCTTTAGCAGAATTTGGAAAAAGTTCCTTGCCAGTGAAATGAGTGTTTTGCCTCTGTTTCTGAGGATCTGAGCCTAAAGGAAGATAATATATTTATTCCATTTGACTGATTTTTTCCCTTGCTTTCTTTTTTCCAGATTATCAATAGTGTTGTATTAAAATAGGCAACTTATTTCAGAACAGAGATGTTCAGCTCTTCTCTTTTCTTTCCTAAATCTTTCAAGCACCAGGAACTGAATTTGTTGATTGATGCAATATCTTAATACTCTTTCTTCACAGAATATTATGTGAAGGATTCCAAAGGAGGGAATTTAGAATTATTCACCCCAATGAATTCAGGGAAGTACCAACATTTCAAAAATCTCTGGTCCTTTTGGGATTAATATTCCCTGGAGTAAACTGCCTGAGGACTGTTTTAACTCAAGGGCAAAATGGAGGCCTCTCAGTGAGCCTGTTGATTTAGCATTCTTTCTACGTAATTTTCTGAGCACAGCAGACCTAATCCTTCTTTGAACAAAATGTTCAAAGAAAAATGATCTGTGGCCTGGGTACCTAGATTTGGCTTTCTTGTCAAAGGCCCTTTCTGAATAAGAGATCTACTCCTTTTCAGATCCTTGAGGCTTGCACTGAGCAAGAGCCAGCAGAAAATAATTTTTCTTACCAGTGTTTCTTCTGATCTGCAGCTTTTTTTGATGTGTAGAAACATTTTGAACTAAAATGTTTATGAACCATCTTGCTGTAAAAACAATTGGAAAAGGAATGCTATGATCTCTGTCCAAGTAGAAAAGGAACCTCAAAATACTTCAAACAATATTATTTATGACACAAGTCTTCCCAATTCTGAAGTAGTATTACAATACAAAATTTATTAACAGACTTTAAAAAGTATAATTATTTTCTCTTGCTTTCTGTTCTTGGATGAAGTAAGTGCAGTATATCTTAGCTGCATTATTCCATTGAAGCAGCAGTAATGAGTTGAAAAAAATAAACCTGAACTGTTTGCATTGAATTTAGGTTAAAAGTATAATCTCTAAAAACAGTTTGTAACAATTTTGTGAAAGACTACCTGATAATTACACAAGAGGCACTCAACATAGTTACATGTTCATCTTAATCTACAGCTTTTGTCACAATGTAAGGCTAGGATTCACCATCGTTTCTTACCAAATGGAATCTTTGAACATAAACTATTCAGATACTAGACCCCCCTGTGCTCATTTGAAATTAAATTTCTGAGAAAGTCCACCCTTCCCAGCTATCATTATTGGAAGGAAAAAGAAATAATTACTAACTTCATAACATTTTTTTTTCAATTAATTTGAGCATTAGATTACTGCTTGTTAGATACTTACCGTGGTCGTGCAGTTGACTGGAATGTATTAAAAGAAACTTGAAACTGGTCATGGAATTTGGATTGAAAGTGTCAGAGGTGTGTTTGTAATACTTTTAAACTTGGTAGACCTGAGAGAGGAATATAGTATGGTCCAGTACTGCGAAATGTAAAAGATAAAAAAAAAACCACAACCCAAACCTCCATTCTGCCCTCCCCCAACTTTTCAGTGGTTGTGAACCAGTACAGATTGTCATGCAAAGAGGCTGGTTATTGATATGTGAATCTGTTTTTCTTTGTTGTAGCTGACTTTGGGCTTGCAAAGCAAAAGCAAGAAAACTGCAAACTTGCATCAGTAGTGGGAACCATTCTATACTCGTGGTAAGTGCTCCTGCATGCAACATTCAGTCCAGTGTCTTCCATCTTCATGGTTACATTTTTGGAGCAGACAGGCATGTTACAATGGAATAAGGAACAAGGTGCAAGTTACCCACCCGCAGCTACTCTGCTGTACTTAGTTGTCTGACTGTTTTGCTGTTGCATATTCTTGCACATGGTCAGTAGTGTGGATTAAGTTGCTGTAGAAATTAAGTAACTGCGGTTGTGCAGTAACTTATTAATCCACTTATATATTTATAGATACAGAAATGTGTTTTCATAAAAAGATATATGTAAACAACATAAATTAATTTTAATGTCTCTTATGGTAATTGTGGCTTCAGTGTTTAGTTACATTGTATGTGTGGACATCTTACCTTCTGAAAAATATTTGAAATTGGTTCTAGTGGATTTGTTTTGGATCAGTAGGCATTTGGTTTTAATAATTGAACTGAAAAAGTATTTTTTTGAAGTTTGATATTTTCAGAGGTGGAAAAATATGACATATGGTTTGCAATTTAAGCTTAGTAAATGCCTAAATGATTCTAAAATTTTGCCTTAGACAGTATACTTTTCAGTTTGCTGAATGAGCAGCAGTTTCCTTTGACATCCCATTTCTGGGCAAGCCAAAGTGAGGAACCATATTGCATTAAATTGTGGTGCCGATATAGCTACCTAAATTCCTAGATTACTACTGACTTGTGTTTTGTTTTCTGAAGAGCATGGTGTTAGCAACAAAGGCACTTTCTCAACTTTAAAAAGCTAAATTTGTTTATTCAGTTCGCAGGTGGGGTATAAGCAAGCAGCATTGGGTGCGAGGGGAGCATCTGCTCTACCAACAAGCGCGCCTTTCTGCAAAACCTGTCCCTCTATTTATTCCCCGAAATGTTGCATATTCACTAAGTTTTGCAATACATTCGTTCATATTCATTTCCTAGCCCCGCCTCGCCCCACTTCGTGTTATAATTAGCCAAAGAGCCCTTCTGCACTTGCGTAGTGCTCTCTGGTGGTCGTAGGGTGGTCAGTGGGTGGGGTTGAACTTTTCACCTTGACTCCTTGGCATGCTCCCTGGTCTCTTGGCCGCAGTCCAAGGGACCAGGCTGGTTCCCAGCCGGTTTAGGGGTCTGAGCAGTCTCCTTTATCTCCGCGGCCTTGCAGGTGTTGTATTCTCTCATCTCGTTTTGGTTAGCAGTTCCTTCCCTTATCATCACAGTTTTGATCCTCTCAGCCTGTCTTCCCAAGCATGGCAAACTTAATCGTACGTTGTCTGAACAGCTATTCTTAATCAGTCACTCTTTAACTTCAAAGCCCCTGTCTCCCAGGGGAGCTACTGGTGGTTCTTCTGAATTATGAGTGAGAGTCAAGAAATCAGGCATTCAGCAGCTGAATATAATTCATGTTGCCACTTTTGAAATTGTTACTTGTGATTTCCTAGTGCCAGAATTATAATGATTGACACTTAATCCCTAGAAATTGCTAAATCCTAAAATGGCTTCAGGAGTGAGTCCTTGTAATGTGTTTAAATATTTAAGTCCCATAGCTCGAAGACTCATTCGTATGCTGCTTCTTACTGAGCAAAAGTAAGGTGATTGCCAGGCTGCCTTAATTGGTTCCCCAAATACTCCTGAAGTGTAGCACAATCTGTGGGTGATGCACGATCTGCAACTGATAGTCTAGGTTGTTAAGTGTAGTAGGAGTTTGGTGTAACTAGTCATGTGCCATCTCTTTCAGCTCCCGTGGAATAATTAATTTGTTTTCTTCAGTTATAACTGCCCAGAGAAGCTGTTGGTGGGAATTTATTGTGCTCTTTCAAACAACAGGTACTGGTAAAGTATCTGCAAGTTAGATCAGTCTTTAGAAGTGTCAGGTTCCAAACAATGCCCCAGTGTCACTCAGGATCACTAAGTGGTAATTTTCTTATCCTATCTACATTCACTTTTTTTTTTTTTTCCTGTTGGAGTCTGTTGCTGGTGGCTTTGGGTCTTTTCACATTTTAGAGAAAATTTTTATTTGAGAGTAGTGTTCTGTGGATCTAAATGTACTTTAAAAAAAAAATTTGCTTATACCACATTTATTATTATTATTCTCCTACCCTGTCTTTGTATGTGGAAGTTCACATCAGAGGTAGGACTTTGGCAGGTTTTCTCCTACCTCTTTGTCCAGTTATTTAGATGTGGGCATGAGGATAAAATGTCACTTCTGTGTTGCAGTCTCTCAGTAAGCAATCTTTTGGGACATTACTTGTCAGTTCTACTCCATAGGCAAAATCATGGAAGCAGTGATCCTTGCCTGTCTGCAGTCAGAAAAGAGAACAAGGATACAGTACTGATGTCTTTGTATTTAAAATGTATGCTTGAGTAATATTTAAAATGACAGGCTAAAGCATTAAAGTCTTTCCAATGTCATAATAATTTAAGAATGTTAAAAAGGCTTTGCAAACAGCTGAAAGCACTGGATGCCACCTTCAGAGTACCTGGCTAGTACTCGGTGGGGCAGTGGGCTTTTTGATATGGAAACCTGTTCACAAGCAATGAGGTGAACTGATTGAGTGTTTTAACACAAATCATGAAGAAGTAGTCAGAGTCTATAGACTTAGTCAGTGCTTGGACTAGATTTAGTTTGTGTTTGGATTTTTTTTTTGGTATGGTTTTAAGTAGGTATGAAGGGCTATAAAATAATCAAAATATTGGGAATGCGTATCTACCAAGAGCAGCAATATTAGTTCCTGCACAAAAAGAAAGGAGAAGAGGAAGAGAAAGAGCTGTGAGACAGCATTGTTGTTTTAGAGTGGCAGAAATTGCTTTCTTGTGAATTGACAAGGATAATAGTTCTGAGTAGTCTGAGATGCAACCCACCCTTCTTGGAACAGACAATATAATTGAGAAACAAAATAATAAATGTCAAAAGTAGTGTCTGATCCTTATTGTTTAAATTTGGCTATACAGCATTATGCAGAATGGTTCAGATAAAAGCATATCACTCTATGTACCAAACATGTTTGGTTTTGGGGTTGACTGAATCAATTTGCTAATGCAATTTTTTAAAAGTTGTATCATCATGGAATAGCAGCAGCAGCAGACACTGTTTTATGTTTAGAGAGGGTCTTATACAATTTTGCTTTGTAATTGTGGTGGGTTTTAATTCTACTTCGTACTAGGTTTTATTCTACTGTCATACTAATTCAATTCCTTTCAATTGGTCATGTCCTTGAATAAAAAATACAGCCATGTGTATGTTTGGAATACCAAATGCATTAAATGGATGTGTTTACACTTCATACATTAAATATTGAGGAAAAGACTGCTTTAGGGAATTGATAATGAATTCTGAAGTCTTTTTCCAGCTCCTAAGTCACCAGAAACAATCTGCTCCAAGTTAGTGGTGACAGTTGTTATTATCCTCTTGTCTTGAAGGCCTTCCCAGAAGAAACACAGCAAATTGTACATGGTTATAGGGAAGGATGTTTCTTTTCATGTGTACCTGCCATTTCTTTGTTTCACAAAAAGGATTGTAACTTATGAAGAGGACATATCAACAACAGATCAAGAGATATAAGTAAAAGTTGGCCATCATGGTTGGGATAACTGCATAGAGAAATTTTAGAAAAACTCTGGGAAATGAAGTAGATTTTGAGGTTAGGATGGAATAGAGAATCTCATCAGAATTCCTTGAAAACTTGGCTGATCTTGAAAAGCTGTTGGGAAACTGTGAAAAAGAGCAGACCCCTCAGATATCATTAAGAAGTAGGTGAGAATGTTGCACGTTTTATTAGAATAAGATTAGTCATGTCATCAAACTAATTTACAAGCTTGTCTTTTAGTCCAATGTTACTGGTATTTGTTTGCTAGAATTATTATTTTTTAATTTTTCTTTTAAGTTACGTCAAATGAGCTACATTTAGATGAACTATGTTACTATGACATCTGAACTGCAAGACTTAGAATACTTTTGGTGGGTTTTTTATGTGTTTGGTGTTGTTTTTTTTTTCTTTCCATTTTGTTCTATCTTAGATGTCAGCCATATTGGCAGATCCTTACTATTTCTAAATCTTTACTAATTCTTGTTCTACTTTACTATGCTGCTCAGTATATGATGTGCTGTTTAAATTTGTAGTGCCATGATATGTCATCTTGCTGTCTTTGATGTTTCCTTAATAGTGTGTTTGCTGTTTTACCATGTTTTTGGTGGTCAGTTAAAGCTTTTTCCTGTTTTCACTTGGCTCCTTAGTCTGTAGTTTCTGGTTTAGCTTTTGTTCAGTCGCTGGCTTTTTCATAGTAGCCAGATTTCAAAGCTCTGTCAAGGATTGTTCAGACTGCCTTGGTCTTTCCTGGGTTTCTTCCCTCTCTTTTATAGTATTTCTTGTTTTTTTTCCACAGCAGAGTTTTTGCACAGAATGATGATTTTGTTGTTTTTGTTGTCACAATAGCTTTAATGGTAGAATAAGAGAAAACACCTTCCACTGTAACAGAGTTCTTGGACTCTGTTGAAGCATTACTAGAGTAAGCACCAGAGCAATAAGTGGCCATGTCTCAATAGAGAAACATTAATAATGGATTTTTAAAGGGTCTGCTCTCCACTTTGTACCCGTTCCTATTTTGTGCAGTAGTAGATTCACTATCCACTTCAAGGATTGGCAGGCCGGCTGTGGCTTAAGAATTACCAGAAGCAGCATGAGGTATTGTAGGCATCTGACTGAAAGAACAGACACATCAAGAATTGACTAACCCGTGGGAGGCTGAATGTTTGTAATACTCTTCTAGCATAATTGAAATAAAGAAAATAATTAGAGTCAGAAATAGGATAGACATCTGGTTAAGAAATGCTATAAAGGGGCATTGATGCCTTCTAAATGAACAAGAGGTTCATGTTTGAGTCACCTGCAAGTAAAGCAGCTAGTAGACTTTCCTTCAGTTTCCTCTCTTACCATACGTGACTGTATTTTCTGCTTGAGGTGCATCCCTAGTCTTATCAGGGTCTTATTTAAAATTAACATTATGGAAGAG